GGTTCCCATCCTCTGTCGTATGTCAGTGCAGGTGCTTGGCAGACTCTCCTACTTAGGGAGTCAAGCTACCAAAGGCTTCTCTGATTTTTTTTTTGGCAGAATTTGTTCTCGTTACTGTGGGTCCTGCACCGGCTTGCTGCAAAATCAGGCAAGCACTGGTGCCAACACAACAGAAAGCAGCTGGAGTGGGACTGTCCCGATGTGCCATCTCAGCCAAATCCTCTACTCAGAGCCCAGGGGCTGAGAAGCAGGACCACAACTGGAGTTACACAGGCTGAGCAGATGCTGCATGGGTGTGAGCCCCATCTGTTTTTTTTTTCTTCCTGTAGTAGCCAGAGAGGAGGGGACATGGCTGATACCTCCTGGGTCTCACCCCAAGGGATAGAGAACATCTGCTTTTAGCAGTCATGGACTGTCTTTAGGGTGCAGCCACAAGTCTCTCAATTAGCTACAGTGCCAGCTAGAGAGGAAGGTAATGCAGCATGATTGCTGTAGAAGAGAGACTTAGGTAAGGTGACAGGGATGTTGGGTACAAACTGGTTTGACCTGTTAGCCCTGGATCAATGTGTTTTGCATGAGGACTTTGGAGCCAAGGCAGGATGTGTTGCCACAGAGTCTGAGCTCATAGTGGAGGGGCCAAGGAGGAGTAAAACTGGTAATCACAAGGATGAAGATGCAACACTGAGATGCTGTTTGGGTTTGTAGAGCAAAGAGTGAAGTGTGGCTTGCTGCACGTCCCTCGCTCCTTGCTGGCCATGTCAGCCAGCCCTTGGCCACCTCACTGCAATGCCAGCAGCACCCAGGAGCTCGTGCTTGGGTGGCCAAAGGTAACCTGGTGTGTTTGCCACAGGGTTGAGGCACTTGAGCACACCATGAGTGGGGAGCAGCTAGCGTGCAGGGACTTGTGTGTCATGAGACTGAGCACAGTTTGAGGCTTTAATAAACAAACTGTGTTCCCCAGGCAGCTCTGCTCAGCATATTGCTCAGAAAACACAGGATCAGTATAAATTAACCCATTACGTGTGGTTTTTAACAGTGTTACTGCCGGTGCCAAGGGCTATTCCCAGTCCACACAGAACAGAGGCAAAACACCAAGGAGGTCATGGGCAGCATTCATAGAAAGGAAGAATAATCCTGCAGCCAAGGCTGTTATAATCCACATCTCATGCAGTGCAGATCCCATTCAGCAGAACTTCATGGCCATCTAGTGGTGAAGCCCTAGTCGATGTTATGTTTTGCAGACTTCTTTGTATCAGAGAGACAAGAACTGGGCCACGTGTGAGTTGTGAAGATGCATGTTTTCACTTCTAGCTGGAAGTAACATGGCTGAATTTTTATAAATCACCCTTAATGCTCACATTGGTTTTATTCATTTCACCCTACCAACCATACTGACTATAAGCATTGCAGCAGCTTATGGAGGCAGCCAGAGGTATCCCAGGATTCCCATTAGATGTAACAATTTCTGCACTAACAGAGAAATTACACTGGTTTTAGAAATAGCGAGCTGCAAATAAATAAACATCAAGCTGACACATCAGAACCCAGTTTTCTTATTTGTTAATTTGTCTTTCAAACTTCGTGTTTCAGCAGTGATTTAATACATCCTGTTGAGCTGTTAAGTGTGGCATCAGTCCTACTGCAAAAGTCCACCTTGAGCCTTAAAGGCTGCCTGGGATTGTGGCCATTAACAGAATGAATTGGCAGCTCCTTCTCAGGGTACCCTGGTAGCTCTTGGCTGATGATAGGTTTCTACATTTTCCCTCTGTGCAGTCTCTGGGGGGACACTTAAATTTGAAAGAGACTGCTACGGTATGGTTTGTTTGGGTTTTGGCTGGGGAAAGAGAGGCATTGAGGTCTTTTCTGTAGTGTTTTTTTCTTTATTTATTTTATAGATTTTTAAACAAAAAGGAAAAGTAAGGTAGTTAAAAAAAATAAATGCCTGTGAATTCCCTGACATATCTATCTCAAAGTCTTTTATCTACCATGGTGCCATCAAACAGTAGTTTTGGGAACCCTGTGTTGACCAGAGACAGCTGGCACAGCCCTTGTGGACTTCAGGAGGCACAGAATTTGGTTTTGAGGACCTTCCTTCTATTTATTTCATTGATGAGGGTATTTTATAGAAATTGCTGGAGAAAGAAGAACATATCCCTTTACTGTTTGCATGGCAAAGGGTAAGACATCAGCAAATCATCTGGAAGTTACTGTGAGAGGGACTAACCTGAGGAAGCTCAAAAAAGCACTTTGTGCTTTTTTTAGCTTCTTTGGTGATATCCCATTTAAAGTTACACAGCTTTTGCAAGACTAAAGCCAAGCTGGTGGTGTTAGGTGGATTCTGTCTCCTTTTCCATTGAACATGTCTGCACTGGGGGTCCCTCTATGCCACAGGAGCTGAAGTGGCAGAGGAGAACCACCTTGGACTTATGCTCTCACTTTCCATGTGGGTCTCCTCTGCTGGTTAGTTTGTCATTTATGCTGCATGGCTGCGAAGGGAAGGTATGAGGTGACACTTGCTGGTTCTAGCTGACAAGAGCTTTTCTCCTTGCTGTGCTGAGCAGGCGATGACTGTGAAGCTCTCAGGGGATGGTGACAATATTCATCACCTTCTGTGGCTTACTCAGTTATTTTCCCTCTTGTGGGATAAGTAGGATCCTACACTTTTTAGAAAAAGGGAGCAATCCAGTTAAAAAGCAGCAGCATTGATCGTGTGCCACCTTCATGGACTGCTCTGTGCCATCCTCTTCTATAGAAATATCTAGGAAAGCACAGAGCAGTTCCCAACAGTGAGATCACTTTCTCATATGTGACAAATAGCTTTTTATGAGGTGCTGACTCTTCTCAAGGTTCAGTTTGTCTCAGGGTTAGAAATTGCACCAGCATTTTAAGCTTGATCCTCCTCCTATTTAAATGAGCTGTACTATCCAGGATTTGAACACTCTGTTACAAAATAGGGTTTTAAGACAGCTCATAAGTTGCTTGCAGAAAAAAAGGATGCACAAATACTTACTTTTAAAGATCAGGATTTCCTAGTTTTGAGCAATGGATTTTGTATGCTCAGTATTGACCTTTACCATTTGATTTACAAGTTTGCTTTTATATCCCAGCTGGTGGGATATTTAAAAAAAACCCTACTGGAGCAGTGAAACCATTCTCAGTGAATTGTCTAACCCAAGACTTTTATTTGTTCTGAGATTCAGATGTTTAAATGCAATTCCTAAGCCATTTCTGTGAGAGCTAGACATATCTGTATTCCAGTCATATAGTTAAAGTGCTAATGTTTCTTACTCTCTTGGGGACAATTTTTGCCAGCTAATGTTGTTACTACGTCTCTCTGTCCACTTCTGTCTCCATTTCAGGAATTCTCTGCACATCTGTTTACATGTGTCATATTGTAGGCAAAAATAATTAATCTGGAGAATCTCTTGCCTGCAGGGAAAATATGAATATGTGTTGAAAGAGTACTGCTCAGAAAGAAAGTACTTTTTTTTTCCCCATTAGTGCTTCAAATTAGGATTGTACTGTGAAATTATTTAAACAAAAATAAAACTGTGTAATTTGGACTACCACTAATTCAAGGCTTAGAGATTTGTACACAGACAATTAGAACATCAGTGAAATCACGTGCTAATGGTGTGAGATGCTTTATGCAAGCTTTTAACCCCATATTTTAACCCCATATTAGTAGTCCTCAGCAAGTTCTGGAAAGCTCTAGGAGTTCAGTGTATGCAGTGACAGCTACAGATGTGCAGGAGCTCCTCTGACAGGAGCTTGCAGGTCAGTGTTGACAGAGGTGCTTCCCAGCAGATGCATCAACATCTGTGCTCCTTTCAAATGCCCACCTTAGTACCCTGTAGCTTCCCAAAAGTTCATGCTTTTCCTTCAGATTGATCTTAAGAGTCTAAAAGAGCAGGCTAATGAGTCTGTATCCCATTTACCTTAAATGTCAATAAACCTGGGAAGCCCCAGAAACCTGATGAAGGGCAGAGTTGTTCCAGTATTTACCTAAATAGGCTGCTGTAGCTGTGGGTGATCCTGGTTGCCATGCAATATAATCGTAGTGAGGTTGATAGGATGATCAGTTAATAATGATTTATGGCTGAGTGGTATGATTACTGGCAGTCAATAAGGGTTTGAATCATGGCCCTCCAACTTGATAATAATTTATCTAATCAAGCCAAATGCATTGCAGTAGCAAGGCTTTTTTCAAGTAATGGGTCCAGCACACACTGTACTTAGAAACTCATGCAACATTACTTCAATGCTGTATTTTTAATTGCTTAAAATTAGAGTAACTTATAGGCCATAGGACATTGCTGTAAATGAAGTATCTTTTATAAGCATTTATGTGTTTCTGTGGGGATTGTTCTCTGGTCTTGTTCTAATAAACTTCATTTATCAGTGGTCTGAAAGAAAATAAATTTCATTGGCTTGCACATGATAGATTGAGAACTGTTTAATGAGAAAATGGAAGAATCGCTGCTGCAGGGTGATCTGGATCTTTTAGCAGTTTGCATTCAGGCAAACAACAGGTGTTTGGCCTAATGCAAGGATCCATAGTTCAAATCTGGGTACTGGAAACACTTTTTCATAAAAGGTTTCAGGCTTTTTATCTATTTAAACTTGTCAAAGAGAAGTTATGGAGGCTATATATAAACTTGTTTAGAAAACAGTTCAGTGAACTTGGACCTGAACACATGTCAAATAGAAATAGAGCTCAGATAAAGTCAGGCTGCTTCATTATTGGAGCAGTATTTCAAGGATCATGGTGGGGTTTTTTTCAGCAATAAGCACTTCTAAATCAAAATGTACTTATTTCATATTGCAGAATATGCTGTAGTTCAAGCACTAATTGTGTCAAAATGTTGAAAGGGAAATAGATAATTCATTTTTTATGTCACCTCTAGCACAGTCACTTCTGTTACAGCTGATTTTTTTAGGGGCCTGGGCTATACACCATGCTTTTGCTTCATTTTTTTTGCTTTTGTTCTGTTTTTCAGCTCAATTTCACCGTTCAGTATTGAGAGCACAAGGCGTCAGAGGAGGTCTGAGTCTCCAGACTCCAGGAAGCGGCGCATCCATAGGTGTGACTTTGAGGGATGCAACAAAGTATACACAAAAAGCTCCCACCTGAAGGCTCACCGGAGAACGCACACAGGTAAGATTTGCTGGCACTGTGCACTGTGGTTAAGACAAGCAGGTATCTTTCCATCCAGTTTAGGGCATAATGAGCTTGTCATCCTACACTAGGAGCCAAAGGCTCCTGAATAACAGAGATGTCTGTGAGTACACTGGCATTCTGGTGCAGATCAGGAGTGTTCTTTTGCGTGGAACTTCCTTATCATCCCCTCTTGGCAGCCCAAGACTGGTGGCAGCACCAACCAGACTCTTCTCAGATGAAGCTTTACTGAAAAGTGGCCTCTAGGGACATACCTGCTGTGCGTCAAAAAACAAAGGGTGATCATTGCTTGGGACCAACCAGACCTAGTCCAGAGAGAACCATCAAGAGCATATAGTGTGGTCATGAATCTTCAGCAACACTTTTTTCACTCTACAGACCTGTTTCTTGTGAAACTACTTGCTTTTATAGATGTAGACTTTGGATGCCAGGAGCTACTGAAATCCTTCAATTCAATTCAAGAGTAAACTCAAGTCCTCAATATGTCTTTCTGGAGGCTTTCAGAGGCACCTAACCCATACTGGAGAGGGAAGTCACAACTGTATGAGAATCGGTCACACTAGATTCCTATAGCAGAGATACAAGAGAGATGCTTAGGGGAGCTGGACCCCATTCAGGGGCGACCATACTTAACACTCTGTCAATACCTGGTGTGCTTATTGACTTTATGGGCTGTCACTAATCTGTATGACAGACATGTAAGGGTAGCTGAAGCAGTGATGTGTAATAGTTGTAATTTTAATGTGGATAAACTCAGGAGCAGCAATTTGAAGTTATCAAGAGCAAGTCTAAAAGGGGATTGATTGGATGGCTAGAAAGGCACTGAGCCTCAGTGCTATTCCTTACTCTGATGCTGATTTGCTTACATTTATTGATCTCTTTTCTCTTAATGGACTTCAGCATTCCTGTAACTCCTTGGAGGAAAGATGGTGTTTATCCACCATATAGGACAATTTTGTTCTTTGCTGAGAATCTGCTGGCCCTTTTTGTGATCTGATGTACTCTAAAGCGTATGACATATTATTTTAGAAAATTAAGTGAGGGCTTCTCCATTGCAATTGAGGCTACATCTCAATCACTTTTTTCCAATATCTCTTGGCTGGTAGGACTTTTGTTGAGAGCAGTTCTGACCAAGGCTTCGTCCTAATATCCCCTAATAAAACAAACAAGTCCCTTCCTTAAACAACAGAAATGTTCTGGTGATCTGGAAATTTCATTACATTTCCTTCTAGGCCAATTTTCCGGTTTTTTTCATATCTACCCATTAAGACGAACCTTCTGCTCTCTCATTATTTGTCATGTCCTGTCTTAATTCTTTTTCCTTCTTCCCTCTTCTTTCCCATCTTAAATGTGGTCTTTCATCTTTACTCTTCTAATATCTTTTATATACCCTTACTCTGTCACCATTTTCTGTCGTTCTTATTTTACCTCTTTTATCCCAGTCTAACCCTACTCTGTTGTTTTCCTTCTCCCTGCTGGATTTCCATGTTGTTTCTTTTCTTGCCTGTATCACCCCTCGAGCATTACATGGCTGTAACAGATTCAAAGCCAGAGAGCCTAGCAGGGAAGAGCCATAGAGGGTTTGGTTTGAAACAAAAATACCATTTATTTGCTTACACCACAGGGAAGTCATTATTTTCTATCCTGCCAGACTGGCAACCAGCCCAGGAGTATAAGCAGTCACCATGTGAGTTGCCAAACTAGATGTGGACAACCTCAGAAATGTCACACCCAAGGCAGCCCAGAAACAGAAGAGGCTCTTTTCTGCCATGACATTTTAAAACACTGAGAATTACATTTGTCAAACGTCTGTAATTTGTCAGTGATCTCATGGGGCAGACTAGTGCTTGCAGGTAGTGCACCCAAATCAGTTTTAGATAGTCAACACTGCTGAATCTCAGGCTGTGCACTTAGGGTGCTCAGAAGTAGGCACTGAAGGCTTGGGAGGATGTAGGCAAATCCCAGTTTAAGCATATGTAGCTCTCCACCATCACAAAAAGAGTTTGTCTACCTGCTGTAATCGTAGGATCCATATCCCCAGCTGCGGTTTCCTAGCAGCTGGTGTCAAGGCTATGCTATCTGTCTGGGATCTCTAGGTAGTCAGAGAAGAGGGATTGGCTCCTCTGGGGCATGTTATTCCCTCTTCAGGTGTACCCAGAGATTGGCTTGCAAAGGTGCTTCTCTTTCACTGCTGAGTACAGAGGAAGCCCGGATACCTGCCAGGCTGTGAGCTGACTGAAACAAATTCCCATGCCAAAATACAACTGCATGAAGTGTTTTGTAGTCATGCTGGTAGTTGGTTTATTACTTCCGGGAAAAAGAAAAATAACATCAAATCAAAAAGCTTCATTAAATAGTCAGCTGATAACTGCTTTATATTGACATTGCAGCAGGCATGATGAAAGAAGTATAGTGTAGAAAAAATGGTCAGTGCTGAATTTAGCCAGTGGATCCACTGAGAAAACCTTGTGTCATGCTGTTAAAATTAAATGTGTTTTACGGGACACTTCAGAGGTCTTGATAAGGTCTTGGTATATCCAGACTTACATGTAGCCTTGGCCATGAGCGTTCTCATCTTGTACTTGCCCATGTCCTAATCTCATCTTGCATTTTTTATCTTGGCCTTTACTTTTGCTTCAGGCAAAAGAAGTTAATTATTCACGTATGACCCACAGTAATTAGTGCAGTTTTGGATAAGTATAAATGAAGTATGACAGCTATGCACGCAAGAGTGAGCAAGTTTCAGTAGGAAACTTTCTGAGAAAAGATCACAGAAACTCAGCATTGCATAATCTGTACCTTATTTTTTTTAGGCAGGCTGATCTTGCTGACAGTTGTTTACCTAAGCAGTATGTGCTTGAGAACTTTTTTTTTTTCATTTACTCGATGATTTAAAAGTTCTTTTCCAAAGTACATTATTTTTTGTGCATAGCCACTGAAACATTCACAGTACTTTAGACACAGGAGGAAAAATAATGTGGTATTATGATAGGATGAACATATTTGTTGGTTGGGAGGTATGCTTCTTTTCATCCTAATGGAAACAGAATATTATAAATGGTAACAGTTGAATTTAATTCTCTTGGAGTATCTCCTAGGTTTTTTAAGTATGCTGTCATCTAGCTCCACAGTATTTGCCACCAGTGTCCTCAAAACTTGGTGTGCTGGTGTGGGCATGCAGTCCACTTGGGGGCGGACTTGAATTGTGAATTGTCTCTCTGACTGGGAAAATTGTGAGTGAAACCTCTGATAGACAGAGCATTGCATAAATCACAAGCACGGGTATTAAATTTCTCTTTCTAGTATCAGCTTCTTGTTTCTGTTTTGCCAGATCATCAAATAGAGCTATCAGGAGGTATCAGGTGTGATGGAGAGCCTTCAGGGCTTGCAGGCAATCTCGCAGCTCAGGTTTATCAACTCTTTCTGCAAGGACAAACTGTGAGAAATTGACTCACTGGACTTTCATTGAGCTAGTTTCTGCTTCAATGAACTTAAAGAAAATTACTAATGTGTGACTCCACAAAGGAATAATCTTTAAAAATGGGAAAAACAGCAGGCATGGGTTGCATTCCCAGTTTGTGTTCACCTGTGTTGAACTTGGCACAGGTACTGGTGCTGGCCCCAGGAGTGGGGAGAGTGTAAATGCTCTTTGGGGGTGTGCACCTAAGGGCTGTGCAGCCCTGGTGGGACCCACCTTCTTCATTTTGCTGCTTTTACTTGGAAGTTGGAGAAGAAAACAAGTCAGAATGCTATTTGATTATCTGTAGTGGCTATTTCAGTCCTTTCAAGCAGTACTAAAGTTGCCATTGACACTTCCAATATGACATCTGAGTCCTACAGCCTAGTAATACTGGTTCTTTACACTGTATGAACTTCTAAACATCTGAAATTGCTCATGGTTAAATCCAGTTCTAGTTCATCATGGCTACCCCCTTAGCACATGGAGAAGCCTAAGGAGCTTAAAACATTGTATGAATCATCCTGAAGAAGTTAACAAAGAAAGAAGATGTCTGCTTTGAGGTAATGTGGGACATAATTTTAGTGTCTGAAACACAAGAGATTTGTTCCGTCTCACCTCCACAGTGTTTCCATTTACTGTAGTAGTAATCAGCGCTCTGTATTTCTGTGCAACCTTATTTCAGTTGTTAATTTAACATTTCTGAAAGGACATGACAGTGCGGCTTTCTGGGGTCAACAGCTGCAAAAGCCCGGGACTTTCCAGCATGAAGTGGGAATGGATTTAATGGGTGTAGGCACCATATATCCAGGCATGGCTTTGCTCCTGCCTCGGAGGAGTGGAGGAGGCCAAGGTCTGTAACCAGAGCACTTTTGTGGGACTCAGGTACTGGGTTGCAACTGCTGCTCTTCGTCCTGCCGCGGTGGGCACTGGGTCTGAGGCACCCTTCTCAGTGCTGCTGCTGCAGTAGAGGGGCTGCTCTGGCAGGCTCTTGCAGAGCCAGGCTGAATATAGCCCCCAAGCCAAGGGAATTGTTTCAGTGTTTGGTGCTTTGTCCTTGATCAACGCCTATATCATTCCTGAGAGATGAGAGCAAATACCTTTGCCACAGACGTAGTGAAGCCTATTTGTCATTGTCAAGGGGTCTTCAGCAATTTTACATGGAGACAGTAAACATTTCAGAAATACAGATTTGTACCTGAGAAAATGACAGCATTCCCTCCCCAAGATGTTCATTTGTAGCTGTGTTGAGACACCACCCTAGAAGAGAGAGGACTAGTGAGTACATGGGTGTTTTATTTAGTCTGTGCTTTTTCAAACATTGCATTCCTCTCACTCACTGTTGCTCCATATATTATTTTAATATGAAAGGGCCCCTGTCATTAGTCTTTGTTCACATTTTCCTTTGAGCGCTTTCAGAGTGGACTTAAAAAGTCAGAGGCACCGAAAAAGCTATTTTTGTTCTGTAAGTTTGAAAACTCCATTCATTACCTGTTGTTTTTTTAAGGTCTGTTTAATGCCT